AATTTCAACAGCCTCAGACCAATACTTTTTGAGTTATGTAAAAAAAACTACAGGGGGGGGTCAAATTGACCCCCCCCCAGCAGGAATAGGGTTAATATAAATGTTCTAGATGCCCAACCTGTTGACTTGGTTTAATAATTGATATCGGAGTGATATTCATCTTTGGACTAAAAACAGTATTGGGTTAAGTGCAGAGCCTGGTAATCAGGGTTTCCATCAAATGAAAACTTAAAAGCTTAACAAAAAGAGAGGAGAGGGGTATTTACCTGACATAGAGTAGAGCAATATCATTGTTCAAATGCTTGGTGCGATTGTACATGAAGAACTCTAAAAATAGTTGATCAAAGAATTTTTTTGGGCCTGTAAAAATCTATTTAATGCAGCTAGTTAAATCGACCCTAATTTTAATTTCTGGTTATGGAGAACTTTATATAAATACGCTTGATCTCAATATCCAATGCAGGCAATTTTAACGTTGAAGGAAAATGCGTGATCCCTCAATTATAGTTACTTCTGCTTTGTATGACCACCGAAGATCTGCATAAGATGAAGAGATCAATGCTTGATCCAACAATTCGCAACACAAATGTTGTGTCTTCAAGTAACACAGCCATAACAACTTTAAGGCCCACAAAAGTCAGTATTTTTAACATTCTTGCTAAAATGAACATTGAATTTATTGTACTTCACTGTGCGCTGTACACTGTACACTGTACACATAGATAAATAAATAAACATAGATAGCTTATGTACGCAAAATCACCAAGAATTGTACAGTCCGCAAACTCATACTTCTAGGAGTCAAAGTGTACTTCAATGATAAGATAGGTGGGTTGGTGTTTTAATGGATTTCAGAATTACTAAACCACTTAGGAGTGAATTTTATATTGAGAATTTCAAATTATTTCACTGAGCAATATATTATATTGACGAGAACTGAAGAAGGACATGAGAAGGACTAAACTAACTTAAATTTCTCTCTACAGAACTCATGTACACCACAAGTACTCAATGACATAGGAACAGTCAATGTTCAGAACCGACCTAGTTAATCTATATAATAGGAATATCTTTAAAACATCTCTGTACATTTATATATTTCAAGATGAAAAATGTCGTCTTATGCGCAATCTATCTTTATCTATGACTGTACACTGTACAGTGTACAGTACCGAACGCAAGACTCGTTACGATACCAAGATTCCTGAAACCCATGGGTTCAGCAGAGTTGGGATATTGCCTTCTTAAAACATATTTTCGAGTTTGATTAAACTCAAGAAAACTCAGTTACTCAAAGTCGTCTATTGGACTAGATTATATGTACCGTAGTGTATTGTACTGTAGATAATACTTTATTTCATACATCACTGTATATTACTGTACTACACTATAATTTACTGTTCTGTACTGTACTGCACTGTACTGCATTGTACAGTTTAACCCAGAACTATCAAGACACTATAAAGCTCTATAAAACTGTTCCCTCATATTTTGTGACTATTTTTTTTTTACAAATACTGAGTTTTAGGTTTAATGATCAAAACCCATTAAAAAATGTGAAGATTTATAAATTCTTTTGGTATTTCTGAAGTTCTGGGTGTACTATATCTGGATGTACAAGTTTCTAAAGTTCTGGGTGTACTATACCTGGATGTACAAGTTTCTAAAGTTCTGGGTGTACTATATCTGGATGTACAAGTTTCTAAAGTTCTGGGTGTACTATACCTGGATGTACAAGTTTCTAAAGTTCTGGGTGTACTATACCTGGATGTACAAGTTTCTTCTTGATTGGATGCTTTGCACCATCTTTAATCTTCACATGCCTGGATGTACAAGTTTCTTCTTGATTGGATGCTTTGCACCATCTTTAATCTTCACATGGCCTAGAATGACCTAAATGTATAATAATCGGTGATTTATTTTTATTTCGTTTTCATTCATTAGTTCCCGTAATACTGTGATTTTTCGGGTCATGTATAGCTATAATTAGGGCTGGGGGCGTTATTCATCTTTTAAATCATTCATTCCGTTCGTTCTGTGAAAGGATGATCGTTTCCCTGGAACGACACCCAGCCCTTAGGGCTGAGCATGTTCCCTCTTTTTTGATATCGTTCGTTCTGTTCGTTCCTGTGAAAGGTCAATCGTTCCCCAGGAACAGCGCCCAGCCCTTAGGGCTGAGCATGTTCCTTCTTTTTCGAAATCGTTCGATTCGTTCGTTCCTGTGAAAGGACAATTATTCCCCAGAAACGACGCCCAGGCTTAGCATGTTCCTTCTTTTTCTAAATCGTTTGTTCCGTTAGTTCCCATGAAAGGACAATCGTTCCCCAGGAACAACGCCAAGCCATTTGGGCTGAGCATGTTCCTTCTTTTTTGAAATCGCTTTGTTCCATTCCTTTCAGTTTTCAAACAAAAAGGACCAACTGTTACCAATGATTTAATCCTCTTTGACAATGACAAGAATTATATATATGATATTTATTAAACTAATCATTTAAACGCGGAAATAAACTATTAAAATGTAATAAATCATACATTACTGTAGGTGAGCCATTTGTTAACTTGTAAGATTAAAATTGTTCAACACTTCATCAATTAAAAACCAAATGAATTTAAATTTGTACAGTCGTCATGGCATATACCAATACAATGAAGACACCTTTCAATTTTAATTTAACCAGTATGGATACACATAAACATAAAAGTTAAGCTGTCAATTAAAAAAGCTTCTCTTTGATTACTTGTAAACTTGTAATTCGAAACAAATCTTGTTAACAATTAAAACTTAAATACAAATTTTGTCTTCATTGTATTGATATAGTCACCTACCACTTTATCATATGTTTACCTCAATAGTTGCGTTGAGGAAAACACAGTGGGCCGCCGTCAATAAAACATTACTGAAAAAATAAAAACTATTATTTAGGAGAATTAGGAAAAAGATATTTCTGCCTTTTTTCTTCGCAAAAAAAAATATGTTTTTGTACTTTAACATGGACATTAAATCATTTAAGTTTATGTTTAACATTTAAGGGGATATTAAATGTAATTTCAAGTCGCACTCTCTGCTGATGTCTGTTTCACAATATTAAGCTTTCAAACATGAACCAGATATCTACATTTTTGTTTTTGAAAATTTATTTATGTTCATTGAAAGGGTTCTTTACAAAAGTGTGTTGTGTTGTAAAATCAGAATGTATGCTATAGTGTACACTATATATAGTACAGTACAATGAGTTCACGGTGTACACTATAGTACAGTATTGTGAGTTCACGATGTACACTATAGTACAGTACTGTGAGTTCACGATGTACACTACAGTACAGTACTGTGAGTTCACACAACACAGCTGAGTGTATGCTATGGTGTACACAACAGTACAGTACGGTGAGTTCACACAACACAGCTGAAGTTTCAAAATCCAGACCATTTTTTGTAAAAATGTCCTAAGCGGTTTATAAAAGTTCTATTGTCCATCCTTGATCAGTCAAAGGTAAGTTCCGATAAAGAAAAGGAGAATTAAAAAAATTATGGGAATTGTCTGTTAATAACGGCAAAAACCATTTTTTTCCTTTAAAAATGCATAAAACTTGAAAAAAAAACTTGTTTCACGAGTTTTGATATTTTTTAAATGTCGTCCGTCATCTCTGTTCACAACCATTAACAAGTTCATAAAATGTTAACAAAGTTGGAAGGCGCCCAACCCTGGTCAAAGGTTTTAAGGATACTGTTGTGGATCGTACACGCTGCTCTAAAACTGGATTTTTTGCTTTTAGACCGTTAAAGACACAAATAAAATTTGTCCTACTCCATTAAACTTAAATTATGGATTTTTTTATATTTTACCTAGATATCACTGATGCACCGCATGTTCCCCCATTTCCATCATTATCAGTGTATTCTATGTACACCATCCTACCAAATCATGTCATTAATAAATTCTATGCAATAAAGGGCCATCACATATATTTTACTATAGAAGGGGATCATTTGTTTAACAAACTGTCCAGAGGCCATGGTAATTGAAGATTACAGTGGTTGACCACATAACGTCCCTTCATTGTGGTCGTATGAATTATCTATCTATTTGATAATAATTTAACGTGTGCTATTGTCCCCCAAAGTACGTCAACAACACGACCACTGTTCATACACAATTGAGGAAAGTACGGGCTCTGGGTTGTCTCACATCATTTGTAATTGTACATCACAGTCTTCTATGGTGATGAAGATTCGGCCTGGTACTTGAAATGATCTGATTTTTATTGAAGCAGAGCGTTGACGGGTATAGGCCTGGGCAGTGGGCAGTTAACATTGGGAGTCATTAATTTGTTATGCCTAGGATTTCCAGGGAAAAATATGTTTTCGCCGAAAATTTCGCATTTTTTCGTATTTCGTAGACTATAGAAAAAGGCTTTATTCACGAAATTTTGCTTTAATCTGTTTTGCGAAAAAATCCGAAATTTTAGCAATAAAATAAAGGCGAAAATTTNGTTTAGGTTAGGATAAAAAGTTTGCGAAATACAAAAGAAAATTTTCGCATTTTTTCGTTCGCTGGAAACCCTAGTTATTAGGCCCAACATGACTTTAAATAAAGAACCTTTTATTAGATGGTATTATCATCTAATAAAAGGTTTTTGGTCTCAAAATAAATAGATAACATATTTTAGATTTCAGAGTTTTAACTTTGCTTTCGCTTGATAAGAGCTCAAGTTACTTGGGTTAATGTCAACTGAACTCTCAGTGTCAAGCAACAAGGACAAATATTGCAATCTCATTGGTTAAGGTTAGGATACATCTGATTAGACACTACTAGATGAACCAATTTCTCTGATTGGTTTAGGTTAGGATACATCTGATTAGACACTACTAGATGAACCAATTTCTCTGATTGGATGAGTTCTTAAACTAAGGATATTAGAATTGTACAGGGTGTCCCACAAAACATGACAATTAAGAGACAACTTTGAAATAAATTTCTGATATAATTTGTCAACTTTTTTTTGAGTTAAAATCAATAATCACCAAATATATATTACAAAATTCTTAATATCTCCGGTAATATTGACACCACAGAAATGGCTACTTTGTGATTTTCAATTGTTCAAAGAATCATGAAGGTAAAAGTAGATTGACGAATGAATGCTTCAAATTATTTCAAATATCAACAACGAGCTTTAAATTGTCTCTCAAATGTCAAGTTAAGTGGGACACCCTGTATCTGCACTCTAAGCAATTTCAAATTTTCATCTTACAAAATTTGTCGGAACACCGGGGGGTCGCCGTAAAAAGATTTTGATCTAAATTGCCGTTCTAGCCTTCAAAATGTACACGGTCCTTTTTCTAAAGATTTTCAAAAAAAAATTTGAAATCGTTTTTTCTTTTAGTTTTTAAAAACCTCAATTCAATCATTGAAAATGTGCANTGTAAAGACGACTTAAAACTCTACCAAATTTGACGATTCAAACTTTAGATTGAATATTCTGCCTTGAATGTGGTCATTAAATGGGTTATTCAATGAGTTTCGTCGCAAAAAGGATATAATAAACACAAAGCGAAAAAACTTTGCTCTAAAATATTGCTATTAATCATCTTTGTGAAATAAAATACGCTTAATTTCTATTGTGATAAATACAGTATGAGACTGTAAAGACGACCCTAGGTTTGATTAAGGCTTCTGTTTTGCCTAAAATCTTTTAATGACTTATTTAAAGATTTGGCAAAGAAAGAAACAAGGATCTTAAATATAAGGAAACACACAGTATAAATTCTCTACATCGTTTCTAAAGTAGGGTTTCCAATCGCAAAAGCGTTGCGAGCAACAATGGGCAACGATGCACAACAGTTGCTTCCTTTCGCGCATTACGGTTGCGCGCAATACAGTAATTTTTGCGCATTGATTCGCAATATCTATTGCGCAAAAAGTTTACATTCCGAATATAAATTTTGCGCTATTGCGTTATTGCGTTATTGCGCATTGGTACAGTTAAATATCCTTCTAAAGTCTTATCCTTCTTGGTTAACCCTGATATATTACATTAAAAAAAAACTTGAAACAAGTTGAAACTAGATCATACCTCTGTATTGTCGGGAATACAATCTTCTTCTTGGGTAGTTTGATTTGGTTCAAGTGCAATAACAAGAAACGTCTAAAGGTTAATAATTCTAGAAATGTTCACAGAAAACATAAAGGCGTCCGTGTACGCATAGAATATCATTGTTTTTTTGATGAAGTCTAAATTGAATAGATTTGAAGTTAAATATGTTCAATACTGAAAATTGTGTAAAAATAATTAATAAGAAAAGATGAAAGTTCACAAAAATCCAGAGAGCTATGAAAATTGTACTAAAAAAAGTCCCTTTAAGTAAAAATTCACCATTTGAAGGAGAATAAAGACGATCAAAAGATTTTGCTTGGCAGACATTCTTTGTTTTACTGAGCTCTAATGGTACATTATGCTTAGCATGATACTTAAATAAAGGATTAAGTATCTTCTACATATTGTGTGTAAGCATAAACTTGCCGGGGGGCTAAAAATTAAAGAATATTTAGATGAAAAAATAATAAAAAAAAAATAAAAAATGAACTTAAATTTAGTAATTTTGACAAATTTTATTGAAAAAAAGGTTTGACAAAAAGGTTTGAAAAAAAGGTTTCTCTTCTTACCATAACTAACTTAATTCACGCTCATTTTACACATATATCAGGACTAAATTGCATCCATTTTTAAGACTTGTTAGAAATTAAAGTGTCGTACTCTTAACAGCTTGGCCTTTTAACTTACTTTGCTAACTCAGTTTTAATATTTCGTAGCTCTATATGTTTTAGAACTATGAATCATTTGTTTTGGCGTTTAAGAAGTTATTGACAAATTTTTATTTGTATTTAAATCCTTAATTATTACTTAGCGACGACAGACTAATTGTCTTATATTTTTATCTATGATTGTGCAACACAAGGGCTTTCCAAAATGTGGTCTACTGTAGGACATGACCTCATTTTGAATATTTCATAATTAGGGGAATATATTAGCTATATTTCCAGTGAAAGCAAACCCACTTAGAATCTCAAAAAAAAGAGGGCCTTCCCGTGGGCCTTCCAAGTTCCCCAATCAAAATTTGAGGCAAATCAGACTAGGCGTTTCTGAGTTATGATTTGACACACAAACACACAGAAAAACAGAGATTAAAACTTCCTAAAGTAGAAGATATAACTGTAGAATAAGTAGTCTGGTTAAAAATACACCTACTAACCAGGTAGTCTGGTTAAAAATACACCGACTAACTGGGTAGTCTGGTTAAAAATACACCAACTAACCGGGTAGTCTGGTTAAAAATACACCTACTACTGGGTAGTCTGGTTAAAATACACCTACTAACCGAGTAGTCTGGTTAAAAATCACTGACTAACCGGGTAGTCTGGTTAAAAATACACCTACTAACCGGGTAGTCTGGTTAAAAATACACCTACTAACCCGGTAGTCTGGTCAAAATACACCTACTAACCAGGTAGTCTGGTTAAAATACACCTACTAACTGGGTAGTCTGATTAAAAATACACATACTAACCAGGTAGTCTGGTTAAAAATACACCTACTAACCAGGTAGTCTGGTAAAAATACACCTACTAACCAGGTAGTCTGGTTAAAATACACCTACTAACTGGGTAGTCTGGTTAAAAATACACCTACTAACCGGGTAGTCTGGTTAAAAATACACCTACTAACCAGGTAGTCTGGTTAAAAATACACCTACTAACCAGGTAGTCTGGTTAAAATACACCTACTAACCAGGTAGTCTGGTTAAAAATACACCTACTAACCAGGTAGTCTGGTTAAAAATACACCTACTAACCGGGTAGTCTGGTTAAAATACACCTACTAACCGGGTAGTCTGGACAAAAATACACATACTAACTGGATAGTCTGGTTAAAAATACACCTACGAGCCCTTTAGTCTGGTTAAAAATACACCTACTAACCAGGTAGTCTGGTTAAAATACACCTACTAACCGGGTAGTCTGGTTAAAAATACACCTACTAACCAGGTAGTCTGGTTAAAAATACACCTACTAACTGGGTAGTCTGGTTAAAAATACACCTACTAACCAGGTAGTCTGGTTAAAATACACCTACTAACCAGGTAGTCTGGTTAAAATACACCTACTAACTGGGTAGTCTGGTTAAAAATACACCTACTAACCAGGTAGTCTGGTTAAAAATACACCTACTAACCAGGTAGTCTGGTTAAAAATACACCTACTAACCGGGTAGTCTGTTTAAAAATACACCTACTAACCAGGTAGTCTGTTTAAAAATACACCTACTAACCAGGTAGTCTGGTTAAAAATACACCTACTAACCAGGTAGTCTGGTTAAAATGCACCTATTAACCGGGTAGTCTGGTTAAAAATACATCTACTAACCAGGTAGTCTGGTTAAAAATACACCTACTAAGAGTAGTTTCGCGGATAATTTTATTTCTTTAAAGCGATTTCAAAAAGTAGAAAAAACAATATTGTAAAAGAGAATGAATTTTTTGTAATAATTTGTATGCTAAATATTACATTTTGATGAAATCTTAATTATTTTTGATATTTCCGTTTAAGTCAACATGTAGAAATTAATTTTAAAAATAATAATTACTACAGGAAGCCTTTGCCACAAACTCTGATTTTCTAATCCCTTTCTTTGTAGACCTCAAACTATAAATTCGTTTAATCAAATAATCTAAGTTTGCAAAGATGTAAGGATTAGACAATTTCTACAAAATTATTATTATCTTTTAATATATTCTTTTTTTTTAACTTAAGATGTTTTTTTAAAGAACTTAAATAAAGAATTATTTAGGATCATATTCATAGTTGAGAAAAGGAATATATACTTTTACATGTTATTTTTCAAGTTTAAAATTCCCTTTGTATACATTTCAGTTTTAGTAGTTTATTTTCTATCATTATTATTCTACCATTATTATTATATCATTATTATTGTATCATTATTATTATATTATATTATTATTATATCATTATGCTCGCCATTTGATAAACATTACAAGGACTACAGCAGTGATTTCAAGTGACCATTAGTTTGGAATGTCACTTGAACACTCAATTTTCAGCTGAAAAAAACAGGATATTTTCTTATTAATCCAAATTAAGTTTATTGTGTACTGTTGTGAATCAGCCATGCCCCAGAAATGAAGGATAATGAAAGTGTTTTTAAATACCCCTAATTTTTCATCTATATCAAATGTGAAATGATCCATGAATCTGAAGCTTAGTACAAATTACCAATTATAATAATGGTTGAAATCAAATCAAATGTTCTTTAATCTCTAGATAATGAAATAGATAATGTTAGACATAAATTAACTCTAAATAATAATAAAGCAAATAAAATCTGAAGTGTTAGATTTCATACATGTTGAAACATGTTTCCTCCAGTGCACCTTCAAGGACCTTAAGAGACCTTCAAGGGCCCTTCAGGAACCTTTAATGACCTTCATAGACCTTCAAGTGCCATTCAGGGACCTTCAGGAACATTTAAAGACCTTCAGGGACCTTCAGAGACCTTCAGGGACCTTCATGGACCTTCATGGACCTTTATGGACCTTCATGGAACTTCATGGACATTCATGGACATTAATGGACATTCATGGACCTTCATGGACCTTCATGGACATTCAAGGACCTTCAGAGACCTTTAGAGACCTGTAGGGACCTCCAGAGACCTTCAGGGACCTGTAGGTATCTCCAGGGACCTTCAGAGGCCGAATTTAATGATTTTGAGTTAGGTCGCTAAACTAGTTGATTCAAATACCTATAAGTAATTATCATTTATAGGCCAGCAAATAGGTTGTCAAGTACAATAGATGGCAACACAGAATGCGTACACTGTCAGTACAGCTGTTTAAACGTCATAAGTGTCAACTCAAAATTTCTGTCTGACAAAACTATAAATAAAAGTGATATTTTTAGACTAAAGTGCTTATCTTAGTGCAATTTTATATGTTCTTTATTTCTGTTCTTACACTTTTTCATTAAACGTTCTATAGACTAAATAACAGGGTTGAAACTGATATTGTGCATAACCCTTTAACATTGTAATTCGAAAGTATAACGTTAAAACATATTTCAGAAATGTTTAATGATATCTTTGGAGAAGTGCTCTGGAAAGGTCTAATCGAGGATAAACCCCAAGATCCAGGGGNAGGAAATTTCTCTTATCCTCTGCAATCCCATCAATAACTGTAAAAGAACCAAGATCTCCATTATCAACCTTTTTGTAAAATTCCAAAGAATAAGGCATCTAAATGTTTTAGTAAACAAACAAGGTCATCACATGATACGAAATTTAAAACAATTTTAATAAATAGTTAAAAATATTTTTGTATTTTTATTATTGTTTTTTGTTGTTGTTGTGTATGATGATATAATGTGTATACTTCAGTCATTGTTTAAACCACAAAAACTTCATCACTTTTAAAACAAGGTAATCCAAATGATTTTTTGTAAAATTCGTATAAAGTATGAGTGTTTCAAAAAGTTAGAAGTCTAAATTTAAAAAAAAAATAGCTGGCTTTAGAAATTGAACAGTAAACCTTTAATAACCCTAGAAATATTTACTTTAATGCTAATTAGAGGGCTGGGGCCTGGACTATGTAAACTATTTAGTTTACATAGATATACAGTGAAAAAAAATTAAGCCACCAAATGACAGTAAAAATACCCGATTTGATTTTGAGTTGTAAATATTTTTTACGTATTCCTACAAAGACGACATTTATCTCCACCGAATCTTGGAAATAATACCAACTAATTAGAGGACATGTCGTCTTTCTTTTTTCATTTGACACATATGACGTTGTGTGCAGTTGGTAGATTTTTCCTGTTGCCATCTATTGTACTTGACAACCTATTTAATAGGCCAGTGAAAAATCTTGTTCATCAATTAAAGTTTGAAAACATTCTGATCGTGCCTAGCTCTATTTTTGAACATCCCTCATGTATATAATATATTATATAACAATGAATTACCACAAGAAAAAGAATAAATATTTCCATTATAAAGGATTTTGATGAATTCAGAAATTATATCAAATATTATATAAACATGACAGCATGTAATAATATTATTTACAACTACTGTACAGGGAAGTTTAAGGGAATTTTACATTACCATGGGTTCCCGTGACCAATTTAGCCTAAATAACATCCAGAGCGCAGCAAGGGATGTTTTATCCAGGGAACCCATGGTGAAGTATAATTTTTAAATTCCAGAAAAGGTTTTTTTGTCTTTTGAGGTGGAAATGCGCAAATTTATTTTCAAAAAATTTGGCACATCTGGTCTTTATTTAACTTAAGGATTTTAAAAATTTATTTTAAATATTAAATTTAAAAAACATCTTTTCTTCATAAATCATTAACATTGCATGTGTGATAGCAATTACCAATTGCAGTATACAAACTTTATTTATAAATCGTCTAAATAATAATAATAATAACTGCTTTAATGTAGGATTTGAGGGGGAAACCTTAAAAATAATCACAACAGTAACCTTAAAAGTTTATAATATCAAGAATGTGAAAGACTTTGTCAGTTTGTTTAATTCTAATAACTTCCTCCATTTTCTCCTGCAGGAGACATGCGCAAATTGCTTTTATCAGGTTTAATAAACGTCCTTGAATATTGAACAAGTTTTGAAAACTCTATTTCTCGTCTTTACGGGAAAAGACATATAATACAATTATTAAAAAAAAGATTAAATGTAGGTTTTGGTTCACAAATTAGGCTTTGCGACTCGAGACATATTATATCTCGTCACTCCAATATAAGGTCAAGAAATGTCGTAATATTTTGTCGAAAAATGATCCAGAATGGCGAACTTGAAAAAGTTAAAATACATGGTTAGCTCTTTGTAAAATTGGATTTAGTCAATTCGATTTTTTACTAATTAATGAAGAAGTTCATGAGGTCACGGGGGCGGATACAGGGGAGAGGGGTACCTTCGCATCCCCCTGACGTACTCAGGGGGGGGGGGCAACGCCCCCTCTGAGATTTTGAGGAACAAAAACAAGTAAGTTAATCAATTTAGGATTTTAGAAACAGGTAAGTTAATCAATTTAGGATTTTAGGAACAAGGTCAAAAAAGAAAGAGCTAGGTCAAATATAGGAACAATAGTCAATAAAGTAACAAAAAAGGTGAGTTAGGAACAAAAAAGGAAGCACTACATAAGTAACATAAAAAGAGGAAGAAAATAACGATAAAATGTGACTTATAACAGGAACATTGATATGGAACTAGCTCGGAACAAGCTAAAAATAACTAGGAATTTCACGCATGCACTAGAACATAAGAACAATATATGAAATACATAATCTAAGGAACAATAAAAAGATATTGTCAGGAAATAGGAACAAAACTAAAGGATTTCGGACAGAGATTTAGGATCTAATGACACTAGGGAACCAGGAATTAGGAACAAAAATTAAAGAACTAGGAACGTAATTCGTAAAATATGAATTATTGATCAATATGGTACAAAAAAGGAAAAATTCTCTAAATTAGATTTTTAACGGGAAAAATAGTTACGACCCAGTGCGGTAGGTAGTAGCTAGGCAACGCTAAGCTCTTAAGCTCGTAAAATCTCCGTTTGCACCAACCTCTTTTTGATATCAAGTACTCATCCTCAAGTACAACATCCTCAATCAACAGCCTCAAGTAAAACATCTTCAAGTACAACATCCTCAATCAACAGCCTCAAGTAAAACATCTTCAAGTACAACATCCTCAAGTACATCATCCTCAAGAACAACATCCCCAAGTACAACAGACTCAAGTACGACATTCTCACGTACAACATCCTCAAGTACAATATCTTCAAGTACAACATCCTCAAATACATCATCCTCAAGTACAACATCCTCAAGTACATCATCCTCAAGTACAACATTCTCAAGTACAACAAAATCAAGTACGACATCCTCAAGTACAATATCCTCAAGTAAGAAAACCTCAAGTACAACATCCTCAAGTACAACATCTTCAAGTACAACATCCTCAAGTACAACATCCTCAAGTACAACATCCCCAAGTAAAACATTTTCAAGTACAAGATCTTTAAGTACAACATCCTCAAGTACAACATCCTCATGTACGACATCCTCAATTACAACATCCTCAAGTACAACATCTTCAAGTACAACATCCTCAAGTACAACAGACTCAAATACAACATCCTCAAGTACAACATCTTCAAGTACAAAAGTGGAATTTAAATAAATCAAAATAAAATTACCCTATGTCACCCCTGGTGTACCCACAGGTTCCATACAAAAATGGTCAATTTGGTCTAGCCATTAGGCAAGCTATAGTTATATATACATATATATGAGTAAAGAGCTTTATTATATAGATTCATAAAAACGAGTTGAAGTAAATTTCATTTTTTTGAAAAAGTGCTAATCACTCTGGACTCAGAAAAATCTTTGAGCAATGGCCTTAGCTGTGTTCCTTACCCTAAAAATATGGGAGCTTTATGAGTATTTTAATAAGGCGAAAAGTCTGTTTAAGATCGTGAGTAAGTATGATGTCATCTATCTATAGAAATATTAACAAAATCTGTTTATTTTAAACAGCTAGCTAGTTATATCCAGTTATTCTTTAAAGCAATGCAATTTTTGAAGATTAGAATAAAAAGTAAAAATTCAATTTAATTTAGTATTTCCTTTCAAACACATTGTCAATTGAGAGAGGCCCCTATGAGGCCTACGTGTACGTGTACATACTAATGACTAATTAACAAGTGGGGCCTGTGTGTAAAAAGTATTTAAAGTTATAAACTTTTAATAATTTTTCATTCAATTCCGAACATTCAGAGATGAATACTTTACTTTGGACATTGGTGGGCTCAGGTAACTTACTGTTATTCAAGATTTTATCTATTTCTCTCATTTGCTGAGTATTAAATCAAACTCTTCGGTATTATCCAATTTTTTCACTATCTCTCTCATTTGCTGAGTATTAAATCAAACTCTTCAGTATAATCCAATTTTTTCACCAACTAATCGCCCAGTATGGGGGGGGGGGGAAATAACGAAAGAACTGCCAAAAATAATTGAAATTGAAAAAATTAAAACGACCAAAATTATAACCAACCAGAAATAAAACCATTTTCGACAACTTTTTTAGCAAAGAATATTTTTTTGATTTAAATAAACTTGAGAAGTAATTTCTAATGACTCTCCATTTCTTTAAGCTTTTATAATTGATTAAGTATGAATGAGGTTTTTTTTCTACCTGAAATTTGATTACTTTCACTTGTGAATTCTGAAGATCTTTTGTAAAAAAATAATGTTATATCTTCGTTTGAAAAAATGTATCATATTTGTTTATTTGTTATATTGTTTTGTGTAAAACTTTTTTCGGATTCATTTGAGACATATTAAACTTTTTAAAGATCTGTAAATCCTAAGTTTGAGCGCAAATTTGACGTTCAAAACTCCTACTTTGGCGTTTGATACGTTTTCAGAATTAGTTTTTTTAAAATTATTAAATAATGACGACGAAAAATAAAGTAAATTATACAGTAATCTAATTAGATGGTTAGGAACATATTTCTCAAAAGAAATTTGTCTCAATAAATCAGTGCTAAGATCCATTATTTCGTTTTCATCATTTTATTGATTTTCTTATTTTCTATGAATTTGTTCGCAGATTTCTTCAAATTCTTCAAATGTCGTCTTTTCAATAATAATTCCAGAAAATCTGCGAAAATCTTTGTGAATAATGAGAAACCAGAATAATGAGAAAATAGAAGCTAATAGTTGAACAAGATTACCTATTTTCGAAGATAAGATTAATTTTCATTTTCTCAACATGTTCCTATACATGACGTCTGTAGTTTATTGTAGAACTTTTTTACATTTTATGTCGTTGTTATTCAATAATTTAAAAAAACTAATTCTGAAAACGTATCCACCCCCAAAGTAGGAGTTTTGAACGTCGAATTTGCGCTCAAACTCAGGATTTACAGATCTTTAAAAAGTTTAATATGTCTCAAATGAATCCGAAAGAAGTTTTCCACAACACTGCATACTCAGTTCAACTACCTTATATAGCCGGTCACTCCCTTTAAAGAGTTGCTTCTAAAGATAAGACATTAAAGACAAACTAAAATTAATTCTATATTTGTATTTAGCTCTGTGTATTGTTTACACTGAGGGAGCCTGTGAAGACGAATGTAAGGTAGAAATTTTATCCATCACAGTCCAAAACTAAGAAAAGTTACAGTTAAAGGAACTTTAAATGTAATTTCAAGAAACTTTTGAAAACCTTGTTTGAGAAAGAATATTCCAGATTCCAAGAAGAGTCATCAGTATTGAGTTCATACAGTACAGTAGCGTCCAATTCTACAGCTCTGTACACAACATTTAATAGATATAAACACTGAGATCTCAGTCATCAAAGATCAGTCAAAAGTTTAAAGGGTACCGTACAGCTCGTAACTTAAATTTAACAGTCTCTATATATCAAATATTTAACTCAGGGAAACCGACGAGCTAAATAATTAAGTTTGTAAAATTCATGCAGTTTCTTATTATTTTTATCAATTATCCATGATTCTCTGGAAAATTAAAGGGATCCTTCTCTTATTTGGGTAATATCAGGTTAAAATACAATGAAAAATGAATTGGGTTTCTAGTTTACCCTGATGCCAGGAATGCCCCTTAAAATCACGATGTCCAGGCATGCCTCTTAAAAGTACAAAGACCGGACTAGCCTATTCAAAAATTAGGATGACTGGGCATGCCTGTAAAATTTACAATGGATATTCCTCTGAAAGTCCATCGACCCAGCATGCCTCTTAAAAGTACAATGACGGGGCATGCCTTTTAAATTACAATGCCCGGACATGCTTTTTTAAAATACAATGACCAGGCATGCCAATTAAAATTATGAAGACCGGGCATGCCAATTAAAATTACGATGACTGGGCATGCCAATTAAAATTACAATGACCAGGCATGCCAATTAAAATTACAATGACCGGGCATGCCAATTAAAATTACAATGACCGGGCATGCCAATTAAAATTACAATGACCAGGCATGCCAATAAAAATTAAAATGACCTGGCATCCCTCTTAAAATTACGATGACCGTTCCATACCTTGTTTTCTACTTCTAGTTGAAAGATGGAATGTGTTCCTGGAGTCAGCCTGGGCTGGACTACCAGGCTATTGGGAACTGTAGCGAGGGTGTGCTGGGAGTAGGAACTTACTGTGAGTGTGGAACCTGCTGGAAACCAGTCTCGGCCGATGTCCCGTGTTGTAAGAAATGCGAGGTGATACTTTAAAATTTTCAGANATTCAGGTTCTATTGCTTAAATCAGACATGTCCCTCCATAAATATTAATTTATTTAGGTTCTATTGCTTAAATCAGACATCTCCCTCCATAAATATTAATTTATTTAGGTTCTATTGCTTAAATCAGACATCTCCCTCCATAAATATTAATTTATTCAGGTTCTATTGCTTAAATCACTGAAATTATAATATTAATTATAATCTGATGATAAGTGATAATAATTAATAATAATAATTTGTAAACTTTGTAAAATTATTAAGATAATATATACCACACACACATTAAAAATATTTCAAAATATGAGTTATTTGTATCAAATAGTTTAATCAATTCAGTTTTTATCAGAATATTTGGTGAGATAAATAAGCGCTGTAGTATTTACAGCAAAGCGAAATGTTTTTGAAAAAGGGAATAATTTTTTCCCCCCAGTTTGGTTTTCAAAAACTAGATCCCAAATCAGGCCTGCAGGCCAAAAATCAGAGAGCACTTTAGTGATAAAGTCGGAAGGCTTCATCGGTCTATTGGAGGGGGAAAATGCGGAAATGGGAGAGGGAATGGTATAAGGAAAGGGGGAAATGCATTCTTTAGTCCAGTATTGAGTTTCCTGCCCTAAAGTAGATGACTTTTGACTTCCAACATAGACCTAACACAAAGTTTTGAAAAATGTCCGAAAAATGCAGGGAAAATTTACTTTTCTCCCATTAAGGTTTTTACTTCAAAAACTAGATAACAATTCAGACTTCTGCATGCAAAAAATCAGACAGAAATCTCTTAAAACCCTTTGTATATAAATTTAAATAAATTTAAAATACTAGGCTTTTGGGGCGCTTCGCGCCCATCTTCTATTTAAATTTTGAACATGTTCTTTTTGTTTACATTTTAAAACAAAGAAGAAAAAATTTTTGCGGATTTTCAAGAATTTAATTTTTTTTACAAAATTAGAAACCTTTTAAACACATTTATTTTTTATTTTTATCATTCATAAACCTTCCCTGTGGTCACGTGATGTCCCACAAAAAATTTGGGCCCGATCGGTTCAGCCGTTTTGACGTTTATTGGATACAAACAAACAGACAGACAAGCCAAATTTATATATAGATATGGAAATTTTTCATCAATTATAATTTGTGCAGGGGGAAGGAGGAGTGTGCTCTGAAAAGCAACCTTCTCCTGAATACCAGATGAATGAATACCAATGTATTGGAACATTCCAAGGAGCCCCGACCTACTGTGGTTACTGCTGGAAAGTACCTGAACTTGGACTTCCTTGCACGTAAGAATATATATTTATTAACTCTAATTCTATGGGATGTTTTCTTTGCATTTTAAAAGATAAAAATATTTTTTGATAATCTAATAGAGGCTGAAAGGGTATCGTTGTGAATCAGGCAAATGGGCATCCCTCTCTGTAAAGGAAAAATAAAAGGGAGTATACGCTGAAAAGCATTTTAGGAGTTGATAGAGACCTATATATTTTTTTTAATGGCTTTCACTTTTTCAACATAAAAGTTGTTAAATAATTTTGCAAAATTTTTTTTTTGAATGCATATGGTAGGGTGAAGGATGGTCAAACGGCAGGTCGGTGTAATTTAGTTCGGCATACTTCGCGGACTTTTTTAAATAATCCATTACACCCATTGAAGTTAGAGGTCTAATTTTTTTAATGAGTAGGCCTTGAAAAGTTGGACTATGGGACATGTATCACACTCCCCTATCTCAACTCTAAGGGCAAAATCATAATCACTAGTTAATATTAACTAGTGATACTTAACTATATGAAAAATTATAATTCAACATGATTTTCAAATTCATTTGAGTTTGAAAGTCTAATAAAATTAATTCTTCAGGAATTGTATAGATTTGTATTATCAGTGTTAAATGTAAAATTCAATGGATATCCAGAAGATATCCAAATTACTGAACTGTGAAGGTCCAATTATTTTGTAGGCCCTCACTTGACCCCAAGGGAGGGTTAATATTCGGTTTATAAATAATAAGAAAATTGACCAATAAAAAAAGTAATAGAAAGGAAGCGGAGAATGAGCATGGTCATTTTTCCTTTTTTTCTTTAATACTTTTTTACTTTATATTTTATATTTTTATACTTTATAGTCTGTAGTTTAAAGAGCTACCTAGCATTTAATTTATTCTATACAGGAAATTTGTGTGTGCAGAGGGAAAAGGAGTCTGTTCTACAGAAAGACCTGGGGGTTTTATACCATGGACAGGTACAGGCCCTGAACCTCCTCCAGCACCTGAATATACAGAGTACGGGTTTTGTGACACATTCACCAAGGACTGCATTTGCTGGGTTCATTACACTTTTTATGAATGAGAGTAGCTACCTGCTACTCCCTATTGGAACTAATATTATAAAAAAGATATTTTTCTAACTTTTTTTCAAATTATTTTGTGTTTCATTGGCTAAATAAATGATAATTCTACAATCAATGTAGATAAGTGTTATAAACAAAACGTAAAACTGCAAAAACAAAACTGTTAAATTTACTCGCACTAATCCATGCTATTGCATATGGGCCTCGACAACCGGTTTTTTTAACAGTAATAACCAGATATTCTGAATTAGAAAGACTACTTTACAGCAATACTTAAGTGAATATGATGTTGTTACAAAGCAAATAATTTTACTAGACTCCTTGCAGCTAAACCCTAAATAAGCCATCCATTGATAGAATTCATCAAATGTCGTCTTCTGCACTTTTCTGATAATGAATGTTGCAGATATTTAGTTTTATAATTAAATGATTATATGTAACTCTTTAAAACTGAATTCCCGCAAATACTGAGATTTACGTAAAATATTATTAAGGACTGTAAAACTTTTAACATTCATCTGTTTAAACTACAGAAGTCTCCAGAATGAATGGGAAAATTAAAGCAATCTAAACTCGAAGTACAAAATTTTCTTGTAAAACTCTTGTTGTATTTCTATTTATTTTAGGGACCACTGTATTAACATTTTTACACGCATCTAGTTTGTTGTTACGAGGATACGTCAAACAAAGACTGCATGTAGAATTGAAATCTGACAGTTTTCAATCATGACTCCTCTCATTTAAGATACAGGAAAGTTGAGAGATGACTTGAATATCGTCTTTGATCATAGAAATAAAATAACTCAAATCTCCGGTAATGAAAGCACATTCTAAAATGCAAAGGCTAAGGCAATTTTGTGATTATTGATTCAAGAATTCTACTTCTAAAATTGGTTTTTGATTGCGGCAAATTATTTTTAAAATCAAAGACGACCTTAAAGTCGTCTTTTAACTGTCGTGTAACTTTGCATTTCTCTTACTTATGCATTTAATTAAAACAAGAGGAGCAACTATAATTTGACTAAATCTACAGGGTGTCCCAATACTCAGAACCTTAGTTGCAGGGTGTCAAAAATATTTTTATCTGAACTCTTTTTTTTTCTAGCTGAAGTGAACCGCGTTGCCCGTGAAGTTTTTTTTTTGGATTTTGAAAAACATAGATTTTTGAATTTAATAAAAAAATGTCAAAATTTCCCACAAAAATGTTCAGCCCATTCGGTCCAGCCGTTTGGTCCGCCGTAGCTAACATATATATATAGAGAGAGAATTATTACATAAATAAAAAAAGATAATCTAATATTAATTGTCAGTTTATTTATTGTATTAATATACTGGGCCAGCACCATGTAGGCTCTTGGCACATTAATCACAACTTGTAAAATCATAGACAAAATCTTCAAACTTAATATAGAAGACGACTTTTAGGTTAAAATCTCCAAACTTAATATAGAAGACGACTTTTAGGTTAAAATCTCCAAACTTAATATAGAAGACATCTTTTACGTTAAAATCTCCAAACTTAATATAGAAGACACCTTTTAGGTTAAAATATCCAAACTTAATATAGAAGACATCTTTTGTGTTGAAATCTCCAAACTTAATATAGAAGACATCTTTTACGTTAAAATTTGCAAACTTTACATAGAAGACGACTTTTAGGCTTCTAACCTACAGGGTTCCCCACAAAATATGCGACTTCAATGACAGCCTCAAACCCTTTTTAATTTGGGTTCTGCCTTAAAAGAGATTCTTTAAATGAATTCGCAGATAAAAATGCATGAATGTAAGAGGAGAGGCTGAAGTCTCATCCTTTGAGAATAATCCTGTACAAAATATGCCAAACAACCAATATGGTCTAAACTTTACTTCTCCACATGGTAACTATCTTGAAGCTAGTACAATTGGTGATGTTGGTTCTGAGTTAGCTAATTTTTAGACGGAATTATTCTTAATATTTAATTTATTATATTAACAAATATTGTCAACAAAAATAAAAATAAATATAGAAACGTGAATGAAAAAGGACGGATAAGGGTTAACTACATTTTATATAAATAAAAATATTACTTTTATAAGTGCGACATAAATTATTAATAAATTATTTATACTTAAACAATACAAATTTTTATATTTTTTGGGATTGAAGGTTTAAGTCAACCAGCTTGTAGAATGTAGAAGCACAATCTGAAAATATTGAAGTTTTTATCTTTAAGATTTTATTTGTACAAATCTATAAACGAACAAAAAAGGCAATATTTAAGGAATGAATAAATGAATGAATAGGTGAATACATGAATACATGAATAGGTAAATACATGAATACATGAATACATGAATACATGAATACATGAATACATGAATACATGAATACATGAATACATGAATACATGAATACACAAATACATGAATACATGAATAAATGAATAAATGAATAAATGAATAAATGAATAAATGAATAAATGAATAAATGAATAAATGAATAAATGAGTAAATGAATAAATGAATAAATGAATAAATGAATAAATGAATAAATGAATAAATGAATAAATGAATAAATGAATAAATGAATAAATGAATAAATGAATAAATGAATAAATGAATAAATGAATAAAAATCTTCTAAAAAGTTACCTAATATAACTCATTGTGCTAAATAAGTCCCCAAACCGAGATCACTGAAATTATGTATATTTCATTTATTCAAATTGTTTGAAATCATTGTGATTTGGAAATACTTTGTATACTTGGTATATACAATGCAGGTAGAAAAGCAGAGGATGTGTTGAATATTTAATAAATATACATAAACTGAATTGTATACTGTATATATGTGTAAACCTGACTGTACTAGCTCTACCTGTATTTATGGTTATATCACATGTTATGTGTTTACGTGAACAGCATGACGTGCAAATTTAGAAGAACGCTAGGGGGTAATCGAACCTTTAAGTTTCCGACCTAATTACCATAGTAGTCACATACTGAGCTCAGTTGGATATTTGTCATGTTTCTTGATAGTTCTGTTTTGCTCTAGATCGATTGAGAACATACCAAACTTAAGTGTGGATCTTACCGTCGCAATTATTATTGTATTCAAATTTTCGTAGATATTTTTGTTATTTAAATTTATTTTTCTGCAAAAATAATAAATGTTGATACAGGGTGTATGATTTTAAGGAGGAAATGTTTTTTTGATGAAATGGAAAAAAATGAAAAAAAAGTTTTTTCATCTCTTTAAATAATTCATATACATACAAACTATCAATGCACAATAAAGAAAGCATTGAATTTCCGGTGAATTAGTTAATAATGTAAATTACAAATGTCTAGATATTAAACTTGTTTATAAAATTGTAGTAATGTGATACGTACAGTATCTTTAGTCAGCTGACTGAAGACACTGTATATACTCCAGGGATAAATATATTTTACAAAAATATTATTTTCAAACAGATTTTATAAGATAATTTTAAAATTGAAATGTGTTTGTATAAAATATTTGGGGGGTGTCCAATGTCCATCTACAAAATAAACATATGATAAATCTGACGAAATACCGGCCTCCAGCACTATCTATCTATCTATCAATTTGTCTAACTGTCTTGGTGTCTGTCTGTATATTTATCTATCTATCTGTGTGTCTGTCTATTTGTCTTGTAGTACATATGTTTGCATATTTCTTGCGTAGACAGAAATTCGCACAAACCTTTGAAATAATAGTGCTATTCTATATAGATAAACAGGAATAATTTGTTTATCAATTCATAACTTGAAACCGTCTTTTACCTTAGAAATAGTTTGCGGCATGCATTTGGCGACCTATTTTTAGCAATATTTTTTTATTTAACAAGTTACTAAAAAATATTTACCTGGTAATAAAAAAAACGAGATGTTTAATCATTGTGTTATTAGATCCCACATTCTCTCTGTAATTATATAATTAACATGATTAATGAATTAATTAAGCTGTATGAATTTACTGTAAGGGAACAGCTCCGATACTAAATACAAAACGTGGAATTAAACTAGAAAATGAAACAAAATACACGGGAAATCATTCAGTGTAAACTGTACATTACATTCGGTAAATTTGGGGATTTATAATTGGCGGAGTTCGTTTAGCAATACTTCTTACATTAAAATTAGAACGATTTATTTTTAGTTTTCTGTTGACGCTTAGCGTGCTGGTATTTCTTGATGTAACCGTTCACCAGTTTGGCAATCTTCGTTGGGTTGATTTCACCATATTTACTGTGACAAATCTACAAGAAAAAACATTTTTAAATGCCCGTTATTTCCAATTTAAAAAACTCTACTACAGGAAAGGGGTTCATAAAAATAAAAACTCATTTCACTGACAGTGTAGGATTTGAAGGTTTAACTTTTTGAAATTCTTCTAATGCAAATCATGTATATTTAAAGCTGGTTCAAAGCAAATAGTTGATCTAATTTCTTGAAAAAAAATCAATTTATAAATTGAAATGGTCTGAGTACACTGCTCATTTTCTGTGTTTAAAGTTTATTGGACTATTTCAAATCAAAACTTGAGTCTTACTGTCGTCTTTCTTTTATCCTAAATTAAAACCAACCTTTGGGACAGTTTTCCTAAGGATCTCTTTGTAATGATCCTTATTGATCCTTCTCTGATTGTATGCTGGTTTCAGCACAAGTTTAACCTCCTCTACAATACGCTCCTGGCGTTGAACTTTCTTCAAAAACTAGAAAATAATACTTACTTAAAATTTTGTTCATTGTACACCCATGACGCATGTTCTTTGTGTCTGCAGCTCAAAAAGCCAAAATGGTTGAACCAGTGCATGCATTGTGCTATAAAGCGGGAGATTGTAAATTTATTTGTATGGAGCTAATAGTTTTAAAAATGCGTCTGCACACAATTTCCTTTGAAACGTATTCCTTACTGTTCAATACAATTTTCACCACCCCCCTCACCCGAGGCAACATATGATTTGCCAAAATTCTGGACAAATTGAAGAAACTTACTTTTTCTTTTACGGACATCTCAACTGCTGAACTCGGGACTTCATCGATAATTTTCAATCGATCATTCACTACCCTTGTATTCACAGTTTTCTTCCCACGAACTCCAGATCCTAAATTGTCATAACGTGTTTTATTCTCTAAAATTTGTGACTTACTAAAAATAACTCATTTTCCAATTAAGCATCTATTCTTCAATTTGTTTGGACAAAAAATTACAACAATAAAATGAAAAACAAATTGGAAATTTTTAGAGTGTAGAAAATCTTAAAGAAACTTAGAACCTTTCTTTCAAAATTTGTTTCCATATCGTTAATTAATTTTTCTTCAGTAAAACTTTAAAATGAAGCGTTCAAATAAAAATTGGGAAGGGCTCTGACCTTGACTGTTATTATTTTGTTTCTTCAATTTTTTCTCCTCGACCCCTATTATCTTGGCCCACTGAGAACTATCGGAGGCTTTATTAACGGAGGCAGTTGGAGGAGTCGCTGTTGGAGGCTCAAATAGATCGGATAGGTCACTTCCAGATCCAGGGGAAAATGGTGAGTCTAGATCCATATCAATCGGAGAACCAGAGCTTATATTCATCGATCTTAATATTGTTAACATTAAAATCCTTTGTTAAAGGGACTGTAGGCGTGATTTCAATTCATAGAGTGACATATCTGATTCACAACTGCATTCTCTGATCAAGAATGAGTGATATCCATGATTTATCTTTAAAAAATGGTTATTTTAAAATGTAAATAGGGGGAAAAAAGAGTTTTATTTAGAAACAAATGATTTTGTGACTTTAAGTATCAAAAAGGGAGTGAGGAATTGCTAGTTAATGTTTAACTTTTCATAACACCCCCCTCCACCCCGATCTTCGGAAATAATTTCACCTTTCTTGCAAATTATCTGACTTAGTTATGTTACCTGTTAGAATCCGGTAGAGTTGCAGAAACATTCAAGGGTAGGCTAGTGTACAGGGGTTTCCTAGTGTAAGGCTGAAGGAGGGGGGGCTCAGGAGTCACAGGACCCCCTCCGTTAACAGGAGAGGACAGGAAAGGAATAGTGTTGGGCGGCGGAGAAGGTGGGCGGACAGGGGACTCAGGAGAGGCAGGGGGCGGAGTCTCTGGTTGAAGGGGCGGGGTTTCCGGCGCCAAATCTTCGTGATCCGGCGAATCTGTTGGTTCAAAGGGATCATAGCTGTCAGGTTCTGGCGGAGTCATTGGACCTTTTACTGGAGTTGGTTCAGGTTTAGATTTCAGATCTTCATCCTCATCATCATCATGCTCAGCAACAGGTTCATTGGGAGGGGTTTTAGGACCAAGAATCTCGGTGGGGAGAGATTCCGTCGCTGGTTCCGGAGCCTTGGTCTGCTGGGGTTCAGTTTCAAGTTCAGGTTTCTCCGGTTCCTCACTATCACTGGCGATATCTACAAGTTCGGTGGGAGGTTCAATGACCCTGTAAGGCCCCTCCTCGTCAAGGATATCTATGATCACTGAAGGTTTTTGGAAAACCGGTTTGACCGGCTTCCTCACTGCATCCTTGTTTTTATCAAAGTTGACGCTAACCATGATTTTATCTCCGGCTGAGTAGACAGATTTCTCTCCGCCAGAGCTTTCAAATAGTTTTCCGTATTTATCAACATCCCGACCTTTCTCTGCTCTTGACCTCGACCTCTTGGAGGTTGATCTTCGGCCAGACCTAGACCTCGATAGCTTTGGAGACTTAGAGCGTTTATCTTTAGACTTGGATCGGGATCTCCGACTTTTGGGTTTCCTCGAATCTTGTCTTCGATCCCGAGTTCTTGATGAAGATCTTCTTCGTCGTTTGGATCTTGAACCAGACCGGTCCCGTCGTCTCCTATCCTTCCCCTTTCTCCTAGACGGAGAGCGAGAGTGAGATCTCTTTCTTTTCTTCTCCTTCGCATCTCTTGTTCTGGAAGAAACCTTCTTCCTTATCTTCTCTGAGAGAGGTAAACTTTTCTTCTTTAAATCTGATTTTTTCTTGTCTTTGCGGAGAGGAGAATTCTTCCTTTTAATAATTCCATCCTTTCTCTTTTTCTTTGATCTTGATCTAGAAGAGGATGAAGATGAGGAAGAGGATGAGGAACTGCTTGAAAGACTGGGCGTTGAGGACCTTGTTCGAGCTTTTTTCTTTTTCCGACCTCGGTCCTCAGTTCTATCTGGGGAGGCTGAAACTTTTCTTTTGGATTTGTTCTTTTTCTTTTCAGAAACATCTCGTCCAAAGACATCCTTTGATAAATCTTTCCGCTCCTCTTTATCTTCCTCGTTCTTACTCTTGTCCTTTTCTTTCTTCTTTCTTTCTTTCTTTGCATCAAGTACTCTCCTCACATCATACCTAGGAAGTTCAGGTTTCTTTGATCTTCTCAGGCTTTCATCTTCATCTTCTCCTTCTTCATCAACTTCTTCTTCATTCTCTTCCGCGCCTTCTTCCTTTTCATCCATGAGAGGAGTGGAACTTTTCCCTCGGTAGGTTCTTCCTTTGAAAATCTTCTCTTTCTTACCCTTTTCCTTCTCTCCTTTTTCTATCTTTTCCACATCTTCAGTATCTTCCTCAATCTTCTCATGATCAATCATCTCTTCGCTATTGTCATCCTTAGTCTCATCAGGAACTGGAATCTTTTTCTTCTTTTTAATATTTTTCTTCTGTTTTTCTACCTTCTTCTTTATCTTCTCTTTCAGCTTTTTCTTCTTTTTCTTTGATTCGTCTCCAATTTCTCCTTCTTCAAGGATGAGACTAATATCTAGAGGATTCCCAGTTGGAGATATCTCAATGACCTGTCTTTCTAGCTCCCTTACCTTCCTCTGCAGTTCCTTCTTCCTTCGGTTCAGCTTCTTCCTTCTCTCATAGTTCTTAATCTCCCCCTCCTCCTCTTCACTCAGCGAGGTGAAGTCCTCCTCAGGAGAAATATTTTCAGGATTCAATCCCTCCAGTGTTCCTGCCTTGTCAAAGGTTTCACTCTGGTCGGAGTCAATTGGACTCATTGATGGATCTCGGAGTTTTACTTCTCTAGTCTCTTCTATTTCTTTGTCACTTACATCACTCAGTTCTTTATCTTTTATTTCAGATTTCTCTGCAGCTGGTACACTTTGTTCAGATTCGGTTTCTTTCTCAATCGTGTTCTTCTTTTCTTTCTTATCGTTTTTCTTATTTTTATCACCATTTTCTTTGTCGTTTCTGCTTTGTTTCTCCTCCTTCTTATGCTTATTTCGGCTTTCATCCCTGCTGTTGCTTTCTTCTTTACGTTTATCACTGTGATCTCGGCCTATCCTACGATCTCCACCCTTTCGTCCCCTGTTACTCTCCCTGCTACTACGGCGACGACGATCACTATCCCGACCTTTGTCAGAACTTCTGCTCCTTCGTCGATATACTTTATTTTCGCACAAAAATTAACCTGATCATTAGCCGCCTGTTCAGTAATCATCTCATCCACCGGCTCATCTTCCGTCGTAACATTTGCCTCTTCCTCCACTTTGCCTTTTCTATCCGCCTCATCATCACTGCCGAATATATCGGAGAGAAGAGCTCTCTTTTTAGGACTTTCCTCCTTCTTAGGATTCTCGTCCCGCTTAGGAGTCCGTAAAGAGGTTTGAAGAGTTTTATTTTTACTCTTCAATTGGATCTTAATTTTGTGAGGCTGGTTACCATCAGGGAGAGGGATTCCTTCCATCTCGTCCTGATCAAATCAAAATATTTAGAACAAGTTCTTCTAAATCCCGTTAAACAGAATTTAGTAGTAATTTCCAGATTCACAAAGGTACCCTGTAAACTTTTGTTTTATGATGAATGAGGTATCAGTATTTGTTGGGCTGAAAATTGTTTATTTTTAGTTAAGGGTTTTCCATGATTTATTCTTTAAAGGAAATTAATATAATTCAACACTTTTTAGATTGAAAAATTAAATTGTTATTCAAAAAGATCTAATGGGCACCGTTGTGGAACATTTTATATGGACCTAGGGTCGCTTGAGACTAAGTTAATCCCTTTAAACTGATTCAGTTTTTCTCAAAACAAGATTGCTGAAAAATGTAGATGTAAATGGCGGAAATTTTAAAACTTCATTTCATAAATTAAAGGGGGGGGGGCACAAAATATAACCGAGCATCGTCGTAGGAAGCGATATATAATAATAATTATACCTAATTTTTTCAGTGCAATAAAGTATTTTATCCACAGTGGACTCGGGTCAATTTGAATTCGAACCGGTCCGACCCCTTGTGACCAGCCTTATGTGACGCGCAACAAGTACCGGCCCGACCATATCCTTGACCGCCTTGGTTTCAACTTTGATGGCGCGGCCAGATTTTTTACAGTGCCCTGCCTATTGTACGCCTACTTGACCTTCCCCACTAGCTTAGTTTATTGTGAATCAGCATTTTTTTTTGTATCAGGGGGATTCTTACCAATCATGTGTTCAAGCTCCACCCTGGCGTAATTAACTGCTCTACGAATACGTTCTAGTTGAGAGGTTCGAGGGATTATATTCCCTCCACGTCGACCACGTTGCCTACTCACAGTTCTGCTTCTAGGATATTTTCAGTTTTGGTTAAAAAGTTCATCTAATTTTATCCAAGCAAGACAATAAAGTAACTCTTCACCGTCAATTGTGTTTAGGTCTAAATTTGGATCTTTGGGACATACTATTACTACCCAAAACCTCGTCAATTAATGTCAAATTTATCATTTCACCATTCCATATTTGTATTTTAGATACTTTACCCCCTCCCCCTAAAATTTGTGTTCCCCCTTTAAAATAATTTTCCCCCATTTAGAAAAAAAACCATAAAAATTTTTTAGCGTTCCCTACAAACTAACATCACTTCTGGGAAAAAATAATATTTACAAAGTGGGGGTGAGAGAATGCAGCCAAAATATTTAAAATACGAAAAAAACATAAGTTTTAAACTTTTTAAATGACATCAAATCAAGCACGAAACAAATTACCCCTGGATCTTCAGGATCGTAAAGATCGCCAGCAACTGCAGAAAGTTGAGGTTGATCTGCAGGACCATCCTCGATATTCCCGTAGAGATCGAGGTCGTCCTCGTTTGATGTTCCTCCTGCACCAGGTCCCAGGGTTCCACTGGAACCACCAGAAACAAACCCTACAGAAGTACGTCCTAAAATAAGAATTTTTGAATCTGATTTTTTTTTAATTTCAGTTTCCCGAAAAAAATAGTATTTTGTTATTTTACGACTTCTGATTTTAATATTTCAGTGGGCAGTGGCCCTTTGCNCTCCTCTCAGTATGTTCACAATAATAACAGTAAATAACTCCAGATTTGTCATTAATAAATAACAACGGGAAGATTTGAATTAAAAAAAATGTTAAAAATTGTGATAAGAAAATGAAACTTTATCCTTGATGACAAAGCATTTCACTATCTTTTCCTGTACAAAAAATCAAAGTTGCCCAAAATAGGAGAAAAAATGTTCATTTCTAAAAATAAAGTTAATTATTTTTTTAAACTCCAACCTGGCATTGTGGCAGTGTTGGCAGCGAAGGAACCATTTAAAGGAAACCCGTTTCCTCGGTTAGAATTGACCGGAGCCGAGGTAACCCTGGCTCCGGATCCGTTAAGGTTCAACCTGCTCCCGGAGTTCAGAATATTCTCGTTCTTGTCCCGTTTAATCAAAGATCTAGGAGCGGACTGTTCTGGGGTTAGGAGGGAGGACTGAGAGCTTAGGATTCCACCTAATAAGTCGGCTGGACCTATAACAATTATGCCATTAATGAGAAAGTGTAACAAAATGACAACTCACTTTTCCCCCACTAAATCATTTTTTAAGCATCATTCTAATCTTTCTTTAAAAAAATTCAATTCTAAACCCCAAGTTTTATTCAATATAATTTTTATATTCACCCAATGAATGGCGACCACTGAATTGGATTTTAAAAGATTACCTGACGCTATACTGTTTAGTTCAATGCCGCCTTTCACCCGCCTCCGTCGTGCCAAATTTAACCGCTCAATTCTAAACCCCAAGTTTTATTCAATATAATTTTTATATTCACCCAATGAATGGCGACCACTGAATTGGATTTAAAAAGATTACCTGACGCTATACTGTTTAGTTCAATGCCGCCTTTCACCCGCCTCCGTCGTGCCAAATTTAACCGCTCTACCGCCATATGTCGTGGTAAAACTCGGGTAGCAATCCCACCGTTCGAAGAAAATCCGGGTAACTCTTCGTCGGGCGATTCGTCGCCGAAATAGTCTAATTCGTCCGGATTTCCTGTGATGGATAAACCTTCTTTCACCTCCCTGGACCAATGTATATCCGGTTCAGGAAGGCCTAGGGCTTGCCGGACACTTTCCATTACAGCGTAGTCTTTCCGCCGTACGGTATACGGAGTCTTGGAGGAGCAGGTTCGTTTGGGTTTACGCTTCCGACGAGCTTTCCGGGGTTTCCCAGTCTTGGTTGAAGTGCTGGCTTTGGTTCGGGCCTTCTTTTTGCTGGGTTTCTTCTTCCGGGTTTTACGGGGTTTCCGTTTTAAAACCCCAGCTCGAACTCCTGAAGAAATTACTTTTTTTTAACGATAATTCGAAGAATTCTTATAAGGGCTTTAGGAGAAATTTCCACATCATTTACGATTCTTATTCCTCTCTTCCTCTCCCCCCAACACACACACAGAAAAGTCTTGTGTTTTTGCACTCACCAAAATAAAAAATTACAAAACCTTTTTCAAACTTGTTATTTATAAACTGCGTTAGGATTTTATTTGCTGGAACATCCGTGGTTTAGTTTAGTTCAGTTTTTGGATTACTTCAAGGACTAAGGATTAGGTGTTTGACCTTCTAATGACCTCTAACGACCTCTAATGGCCTAAAATGATCTTCAAAATAAAAATGTTTAACTATGGCTTTATGCATTTCAAACGAAAGCTAGGAACCCAGGGAATACAGTAGCAGCAATAAATCCAGTGTTTGACCTTCTAATGAACTCCAACGACCTCTAACGACCTCAATGACCTCCAAAACTGAAAATGTTTTAACAATGGCTTTATGCATATCAAAGAAAGCTAGGAACCCAGGGAAAACAGTACCAGCAACAAATCCAGCTTTTGACCTTGTAATGACCTCTTACGACCTTTAATGACCAAAATGACCTCCAAAAATGAAAATGTTTTACTATGGCTTTATGCATATCAATTAAAAGCTAGGAACCCCAGGAATACAGTAGCAGCAACGGATTCCAAGGTTCCTAGCTTTCGTTTGATATGCAAAAAGCCATAGTTGAAATATTTTTTGTTTGTGGAGGTCATTGAGGTCTTTAGAGATCATTAAAATTCAATTTGATTTTATCTTAGGAATTTAGATCACTAATTAGACGTGCAGTCAAAAAATTGGAAGATTTGAACCAAAAATAAAGGCAGGGCCCCCGCCCCAAAATCAAACATGCCATCTCCACCATCCTCTTTTGGTTAAAAACCTTTTTTAAACTATTGATTTTCTTTTATTCTAGGACATCTCTTCGACTTTTCTGGAGTGCAGTGCAATAGAGCGATGGCTGGAGCAAATTGTTACTTATTTTATCTACAATTGAGACCAAGTTCCCAACCTGTAAATATATGTTTTTTTTTTATAATAATAATTATACCTAATTTTTTCAGTGCAATAAAGTATTTTATCCACAGTGGACTCGGGTCAATTTGAATTCGAACCGGTCCGACCCCTTATGACCAGCCTTAGTGACGCGCGACAAGTACCGGCCCGACCATATCCTCGACCGCCTAGGTTTCAACTTTGATGGCGCGGCCAGACTTTTTACAG